TCAACTATAATTTTTGGAATCCATGTCTAGTGTATCCTTTCTGTTTTTTTTTTTTTTTTTGTCTTATTGATTTTCTTTCTTTTTTAGTTTGTTTGTATGTTTTGATTTTTGTTGTTTTTGTTGTCGCTTTTCACTTCTTTTGAAAGAGAGATAGCAGGAAGTTGGTTGGGTAGGGAGGTAGGGAGGATCTGTGTGGAGTTAGAAAGTACATGATAAAAATATATTGTCTGAAAAAAAAACTTTAAGTTTTGTGCTTTAAGACAGAGTCACAGGTAACCCAAATGGACCTTGTGGCTGAGGCTGGCTTTGAACTTCTGATTCTTCTGCCTCCATGTGGGTAGACCACTGGGATTACAGTCATGTAACCATGCCCAGTTCGTTTTCAAAAGTTTAGTGCAACATTCCTCCCTTTCTGCAGAAGTGGAATCAGTAAATCCGTATAATTCTAAACATCCTAATGAGGAGAACAGTCTGTTGAGCATTTTCATACTCCCAAGTATCTGAATATTAGCTCTGTGAAGACAAAATATAGAGATGATAGACTGCTCTTCCTGCTTCTCATTTGAATGGTCTGGTGTGTTGTAGTTCCAGCCATTGACCTTAAAGCAACTTATATATGTTTTCTTTATCCCTAAAGAGAAAGGAAAAATCTGATTTTTTCCAAGCAATTAAAACTCTTCTGCTTCAGGTAGGGTGGAAAGAATGAGGAGCTATGTCTCCCTGTATATAATTGCAAGGTTCATCTTTCTTGTTTTAATGATTGACAGAAAACTGATAAACTGAGACATTTCCTTGTTAAGGGTGAATGTACTCTCTTGGTGGTCCCATTGCTAATTTGTTTGACTATTTTGTACGATTTCTTACTCTGTAATGGAAAGGTTTATTAAATACGAGGGTGGCAAAGCTTTCTGAATACTAATGAACTTATTTGCCAAAATTTAAATGTTCTTCTCGCTAGTGAATGTCTGTCTCACTTAACAGGAACCAAATTGAATAATGAAGAAAATTAGACTCCAGTGAACCTCAAGAGAAATCGTGTGTGAATTGTAATAGAAAACTGAGGGAGAAAAGGGTCATATTTTAGAAAAAACACTAGATAATTTAGATTATTTTAAAAAAGGATGAACTTAGGGAAGCTCAGGTCTTTTCAAAGCAACACACATTCAGTCAATTAATTCAAAATGCTGGTTTTCCCTTTACCCAAGCAGTCTATACCTATTGCCAGTCTACAGTAAAAGGAGGGCAGATTAGGTGGGAAATGCATGCTAGGTTTCTGTGCTTACAATTCACTAAACTTCTTCTCATGTGAGGAGGATCTTATATACCTGTGATGGAAAGGAATCAATAGCCTTGAAAAATGAGCATTATTCTTCAGAGAAGTTCAATAAAAAGATGGAATTGGGGGAATTGCTGCAATTCTTCCTACAAGCATAAGATAACGAGTGTGCCCTCACACTGATGTGTTTAATTCCACCATCTCGGTGTTATGGCTAATGAAGTACATGATCATGATGCCTTTCCTCTGCTAGCACCCAGGGGCATTGTGGGAACAATATGGTGACCTCCTGACCAGGAGACAGGGCGGGGGGAAATTCGGCAACCATACCAACTGCAAAGCATGGTCAGCATAAAACACAGGGTGTGTGTGGAGTAAAATCAAGCAGCTAAGGAGAAGTGATGAGAAGGGAAGGTGACAAGGAGCAAAGATGGGAAATGGACCTTTTGTCCCTGACACAAATCCGAGAAAGGGACACGTTCACCGAAAAAGCAGGAGGAATGAGGATCCTGAGGCTCAGAAAATAATCAAAATGAAAATAATGAATGTCTCCAGTTTTCAAAGGAATTCTTCCTGAGGTTTTTAAAAATTAAAGGTAAATAAAGAGGAAGGGCAAGGCCCTTGGAGCCTGTGGAGTTTTTAAAATAAAATAAAACATAAACAAAAATGGAAAGGTAAATGCTGTTCCAAGAAAACAATGGACAAGAAAAGAAGCCCAGAGTAAAGAGAGATTCAGAGTTAAGGTTGATTTCAACCCAGAAGGTGTTTTTTGGACAGCATGCTGGACTTCATCTCTGAAGGAGAAAAAAAAAATGGTTAATTTATCTCAGAGTAATCTATTTTATCTGAGGATGAATTTTCTTTATTGCCCTTTATGAGGTTTAAAAAACCAAAACCAAACAACAACAACAACAACAACAAAAAAAAAAAACCCTAGACTTTGATTGCTCCTAAGGCAGGGGGGGGGCACTTTCCAGTTACAAATCTTAATTTCCCCCCTTATAATGATAATTGGGTTTCAACAAGCAAGTAAAACAAACACGGAGACAGAGACTTATCTCTACCATGTCAACTCCTGGCCTGCTCTGATGGAAATAAAGGATTTAGTGAGTAGGGATGGAGGCAGAGGAACAAGACAATGAAACAGAGGAAAAGGCTGCACACTCAGTACGATGGCCCAATTTGTGGGAAATTAAATGAACAATTGGGTTTGAAGGACGTGTACAATAAGGAGACTGGAATAATAAGATATATTTAGAAAGGGGAGATTACTTGGGAAAGCGAGGGTGAATGACGAATTATGTGGAGATGAT